GGCGGGGCGCTCGCCGCTCCGAGCCCTCCCGGCAGGCGGCAAAACGCGCCCTGGATCCTCGCGGCCGGAGCGGGATTCGCCGCCCCCCACACCCCACCCACACCCCCGCGCCCCGGGAGGACACGGCACGGCCCCGGGGACGGGGGAGAGCGGCGCCGGTGCTCCCACGGCTGCCCACGAGAGCCGCCGTCGGCGTGCCAGGCTGGTAACGCCGGGGGTTATTTACCAACAAGAACGAAATTAAATGATGGTAATATGAGAAAAGGCAAATTATCCCGTTATTCGCGGAGGCTGTGGTTTGACGCCGCACACCCCCCGGCCAGCCACGGTGATGGCACCCTATGAAATCATCCCTTTTCTTTTTAGCCTGGAAGGAGGAAAGCCTGGGCAGCCGTGACAGGCGAGGGGTTCACCGGAGGACAAACCCCTTGCCCTTACATGTGCCATCCAGGAGGAGCCTCGAACACCAGCGTCCAGCAGGGCCCGGCCATCGCACGCCTTGGAGAAAACACTCCCAGCAGCACGGGGAAGATGCTGGCTGAGAAGGAAGATCTGCTAAGCCGCTCTTTCTCTCCTGTAAGGAGGTAAAATATGAGCCTTGCTCTTTCCCCATCCCCCACCTCATTCATTAAGAGCCACTGATATTTGCTGCTCCTTCCCAGAGGGAAACGAGCGAGTAAAATGTTATGGTAAGACGAAGAGTCAGTCCACTGACTTTCCACCCCTCGTTATCACCACAGCCTTTTGTGAGATGCAGGCCACCAAATATAACATCTCTTCAGACTGAAAAACAGATGTTGGAAATGGGATATGTGAAACAATATACCCAAGCAGTACTTCTTTAGAAAGGCTTCATTATTATTAACTCTGTAGCTGGTGCAATATAAAGCACTTCAAGTGTGAACCAGCCCAGTCAAATGTGAGCCTGCAGAGTTTCTGCTGCACACAGGTGAGCAGTGCTGTCCACATCCATCCATTCCTAGGGATGCTTTGAATGCCAACATTTTGCTGGTTTAAGTGATGCTTGATGAAGGAGAAGCAGTGGTACGGATCTGCACAACTCCTTGTCACTGCTGCTCTCCAGTGATAGTGGATAGGTAGCCTATCACCAATTTGCACCTCCATCCTCTTCTCACCCACCCTACACATCCTTGCAGTGAAAGAAGAAATCAGTCTGGGAATCTTAACCAAGCTCACAGACACTTCAGTTGAAACAAAGGGAAACCTACAGCACAGACACCTGAATTTTGAGTAGTTGCCCTCAGTGGCAGGGAATTCTAGCAATGCACAAGCTCTCTTTGCTGGGTGTAACCATTCCATCTCTTCCTTAGGACTGGATATCATTCCAAAGACTTGTCCTGATAAAATATAAGGTAGCACAAGCTGTTTTTGTAAGATAAAATAACAGGTAATTTGAGAGGTAAAAGAGTCATTGCTCTCAAACTGCTGCACATAGCAGAAATTGAAGGAACTGGAACTTGATGATAAAGCTCTACATAATCAGAATCTGTTTCGCAGGGAGATGGCAGTAAGTCAGAGGTTGTGGGCTTGAACAAAATGCAGAGCAAGAAATTAATAACTGGGGGGAAAGCAACAAACAAAGAGGGCTAAGGTTTATTTAGAATAAGCAGGTTAACAGGAGCACTCAAACATCAACATGCACAACCACAGCTCCATTAAAGACACGCTAAAGGCTAGGAAGCAAACAAGAACTAACAATTATTAATTTTTACACCCACAGACTTACGTGCTCATGGTCTCAGGTCTTCCATCCTGGGCAGCAAGCAGCACCAGATCACAATCTTCTCTGGCAGTGCTAAGGTACTCAGCCTACCAAGACAAGCTAAGTAAAAATGTTTGGAAGAAGATCCCACACTGTCTGGGCAATAAAACGGGATGAAATCCTTTCACTGAAAAGCAAAGTGAACCACATGGAATGAAACATGAATATCACAGCCTCTGACTCAACTCCTACCATTCAAAATAGAGATCCTGGTACTGTGACAGGTGCTGCAGTGAAGCTGTTCTGTGTGCTCAAGTGGAGTGTCAAGGATCATTACAAAAGAAGGGAAGAAGTGAACAGCAAACACCCCTACACCATCATTATTAGGCCCAGATCTCCTGTCTGCTTATATCTCAAATACAATGTGCAGTTCTGCTTTGCTTAAAAGGTGCAAAGGGAAACTTGAAAGACACATAAAAACATAGCAAATGTACTTAAAAGCAGCTAAATGCACTGCTAGGGTGGTGTTTCCACCCTAGAAAGGCAGCAATCTGGATGAAACCTCAACTAATATACTCAAAAACAGCATGGAAAGGAACATCAGAGAGAGATACTCATTCACTTAATGTGTGTTGAGATAAACAAAGACCCTTTCTCTAAAGCAGAGGGTATCAAGGCAACATATCAAACAAGTAATCAGAATATGGACAGCAACTTTAAACAACATGTTTTCCAACCACAGAACTCATTACTACAGCACACTAAAGAGGCAAAAAACTTTAAGGAGTTGGGTTTTTTTAAAGCAGAAATTTAACTATGTGTTACTTGAAGCTGAAAGAGTAACGGAGTGCCCTGTATGCTACCCAAGCCTCCTTCCCCATGTGTATGGTAGTAGCTATTTTTCTGGGTGAGGTTTTAAACAGGTGGACCTTTGATCTGACACAGTGCTGCTATCCCTATGCTACTCTCCAGGAGGAAATGCAAGTTTTCACCAGAACAAATGAAACTGAACAACATTGTTCAAGGCAATAAAGTGCACAAACCTGTAAGCAGCTCTGGCAAAGTTTGAGTCTGTGGTGAACATGTGGCAGCTGCAGCTGCTCTCTGGGAGACAGGGAGCCTCACAAAACAGCCAGCAGGACAAGGACCTCGCCAGCCAGCACCCAGCCCCACTGTACACACACAGGGTAAACAGAACAGGCCCAGGGGCACCATCTGCATTCAGGCACAAGGCCTGAATAACACAGCTTCCAGAACATGAGGCAAGCCTGGAGTTTAGCTAAGAACTCAATCTTCAGGTCACAAGCAGGTCTGGAGACCTATGAAGTAAGAAAAACTACACACAACCTGAGTGAATAATAAACAGAGACCATAGACACTAAAGAGGACCAAGCCCAAACCAAGGCCCTAAACAACCAAAGCCTGTTTCTTAGCCAGGTGAGCTTAAATAGAGCTCCTGGGCCCTTGGGCAAAGGATGTGGGTGGAGACTCCAGATGCAGATGGTCAGGTCCCTTAAGACCTATTAGTGTCCTTGGGCCCTTGACCCTGGAAACAGAACTATTCAGGTATGCTGTCCCTAAATTATTCCTGCAGTCATCTGCAACAGGCACAGCATCAGTCCAAGCTAAGAAAGGTTAGATTGATGCTGAGCTTTAGCCCTTCACAAACCAAAAGCTGAGATAATTACACTGCAAAGATACCTAAGCTGCTTTTTAAGGGACAGATTTGATCTAGCCAGGTTTATCTTAGCTAGCCCTGTTTTCCTTGCCGTGGAAAGATGATACTGCAACATTAGGGCTGTTTGTTTATGTGATTACAAAACACAGATTACAACTTCCACTTTCTAGCAAAGCCTGCCTCACATTTGCTAGCTCGGGCTCCAGCATGACAAAGTGAGCAGCCTGCTCCCAGCCCAGATGTGACCTAGGAACCTGTGTGCCACTCTGGTGTGTGCTGCTGTGCCTGTGAATCCAGCTGAACACTGGCCAAACACTGTTAATGCCTTTGGATTTGTAATACAGATGATCAGATAAATCACCCACAGCATTGTTAGTTGGCACGATCTGAAAGAGTCTTGAACAACATGAATTTAATGCAGAAACTCAAATTCTAATTGTTCTTTTGACAATCACTTTCTCATTTAGTCCTTCTTGGCCCTGGTTCAAGATAGTATCTACCCGCCTGATTGGCACTGAGAACAGGTTAACGTTTGTAGGCACACTAAACACAGATATTTTAAGCGTTAACACTATTTTATATGAAATAAGGCCAGGAGGGACTATGATTTCAGCTTGTGATACCCATCATACAGGCCCACTGTGTTTATTCTAAATATTTCCTAACAGATGTTTCTGACCTGGAGTGGACCACAGTTTGCTGCCAGTTTCTATTTTCATTGGAAGTCTTGGCCCTTACTTCACTGCATGATTGTGCATGGATAATAAAAAGCATGACAGCAGAACAATTGTGTAGTGCCTTGGACTACATCTACACTTCATCTGGCAAGACATGGTTAATTGTGCATGTACAGACCCAAGAGTTTTGGGTGTTTTAAGGCTACTGCACTTTTGCAGTAAGCCATGTGACACAGGGGTCACATAGGGAACACCTCTTCATGCCACCTGAAAGAAACGAAGGGACCTGCTTAGCCAGAGAAATTTGGCACTCACTGTATTACTGCAGACTCAGTAACTCTGATCAGTCAAATCCTTCTGTTCACTGAAGACCCCACTGACAGGGCCTGTTGGGGTCCTGAGGGTATCAACAAGGTTTAATGACCAGCCTCACCTGGGGCTTCCACTACACACTTGATTTGTGGTGGGTGAGCATTTAAACTCAGGCCTGTCTAGGTAACTGCTTCTGATATTAGTTCTGGTGTAGGCACTAGTTGTTTTGGGTGTTGGTTCTGGTCTTATTTGTTCTTTGAGTTTGGTTTCTAGATGATCCTCAGGTGTGTCTCTGGCTCTGTTTTGGGCCTTCTCTTCTGTTCCTTTCTTGCCTAGATGTACCATAGAGCTGCTCTGTGCCCTGGCCGAGGCTGGAGCCTGTTCCCAGCACCCAGCTCTGCAGGACTGTGCCTTGTCAGTGAAGGGACCTCCTGTGCTGTGGTCTTATTTGGCTCCTTGCTCACCTCAGGAAAAAACACTTCTGTCTACTTGCTGACAGAGGTAAAGAGAGTTCAAGACAGCACAGTGCCAAGGAGCTGAGGTTTGTTAGAGTAGCTGTAATCTGCAAGCTGTGATTTTTGTGGTAGGGGAAGAATGATTCTCGTGTGGGGAAAGTTATGCACTTCTGATGTCTGTAGATGTGGTTTGGGGCAAATAAACAGGCAACTGGATAGGTATTATGTCAGATCACTAATTAGTAAAGACCAGAAGCAAGTCTAAAGACTTAAAAAGCTTACTGCCCAGAGGTATTACACTGATGGTAATTTGTACAGCTATCCCAAAACAGGGCTTGGTGTACACCAGCATTTTAAGAGCACTGAAAATAATCTTTTCAGCAACCACTGAAAGTTGTTGCAGCAGCCAGTCTATTTTAATTAATATATATTTAAAATGTGTTTTGAAAACTAAGCATCTTTAACAACAAAAAAATCAGGAACAAATTACAATTGATAAAACTACCTACCTGCTTGATTTTTTTCTTCAAATTTGTAGCTCTGCTCCTGAGTGTTATAATTTTCATGTCTCCCCTGCTGATTGTTGATTTACTGGGGGAGGATGCGGTAGTGTCACACATGAGTGTAATGCAAATTATATTAAAATTGCTGATAACTTTTAAGAATGGGTCATAAAAGAGATGTCACCAGAGAAATTCTCTAAAAGGTGTAAACATTTCAAGGTAAAAAGATGAAGTGACAACTGGGAGAATGTTAAGATTTAAAGGTGCAAATGAACTACTACAGGGGCTAATGAAGAAAACAGACCTTGAGAGCACTTTATACCAGTAAGTACTTTAAAAAACCCCAATAAATCTAGGCACATAAAGCTCATTGTGAATTCCTTTGTGTGTTAACATATCTATGTAAGATATTCTGTTTAGCTCTGCAATGCGAGTCTTTTACTGGTTTTTCTAAAGAGTATGCATACATGAGGCACCCTTCCCTAAATTATGAGGCTTGACAAAGTATCTTGAAATATCCTGCCTGTAGCTAAGAGAAGTAACAGCCCATCTATGTGATTATTGATTTTTCTAGTCTGTGGTGAAACTCTAGAAACTTGATGACTTTCAGCTGTTAGTGCAGTGGCAATGCTTTTCTGTGTGAAGTCAGTAAATTAGATTCCTACAGCTGGAGCTGTTAACAGAGTCTGGTTGTTGTGGTGGGAGGAGGCTTTTCCTGAGCAGAAACCCAAAAGAATACAAACTGGGTGGAGAACATGGCATCAACAGTGGCTTAAAAACCTGCTTCAATAACTCACAGAACAGTTGCCTTTCCATTAGAGACTGACAGTGACTTAAAAAAAAAAATACTAATTTTGCAGATGTATTACAAAAGGTAAAAAGGCTTGAGGGTTTTCTGCTACTTATTTCATGTTTTGCAGAAGAAATCTATTTTTTTAAAATTATTTGAAAGAATGAGTATTTTAACAGCTATTTCCCAAACATATAAATGTTGCAATGATTAAATAGAGCAAAATGAAGTTGTCTTGATTCTGTCCCATGCTTAATTTTAAGGAATATAATCTACTAAAGGGAAAAACGAATAGATTTTTTTAAAAGACAATCTGACACAATTTAAGGAAAAAGGAAAAGGAAACAAAAATATTCTGGCAATTTTTTTGGAAAGTGGCTCCTTTTACTGGTGCAAGTGTTGAGATCTGTTTCCCTGGTTTCTTTGTTTTAGAAGACTAACTTTTTAAAAAGGTATGTTAATATGTAAAATACTTGAAATCCAGGTCAAGATGTATAGGGCAAAGAGTATATAAGGAATAGGTGAATAACAACAAGAAACTAAGAGTAAAGCTGACACCACGAGCTTTTTCACCAGCTGTCAGCAGGCATCAGGTGTGTGCTCTCCCCTTGCTCCATGCACCAGCATTCAGAGGGCGCACTTGTTTATTTTTTTAATTCAAGAGCTGAAGACAAAAGGTCAAATGCCTCCTGGAAAGTCTATATTCAAGAGAGATATTGTAGAAAATCTAAAAAATTGTCAAAAATGTTTACAGCTGCAGAATGATACTGTGTTTGACCTTTCTGATTCTAAAATCAGTTTTTTATTTTTTTTTCCAGTGTTTCTCCTTCTGGTGAATTTTGAAGCTTGCACGTAAATAATCATATTGAGCAATTTTTTCTGAGTATAAAACCATAATTGTAGACAAAAGGGATCTTCACGTTCTAGCACGAAGTTGAAGTAGCTATCTAAACGGCTCAAAAGAAATCGATGTATTTTACAGTACAGTCTTAACTAGAGCCGTTTAGGTTTTGGTTATGTGCGCCCACAGGTCTAAATACAGGTATTTGTTGGCGAACCGCGCGGATGGATGTTTTTAAGGAGCAGCAAGCCATCCCCGGGGGCACTAACAAAGGCGTGCCCCGGAGCGGGCAGAGGGTGAGAAGCGGCTGGGCCGGGGTTAAGCCGGCCCTTCCCGCGGGCAGAGGGTGAGAAGCGGCTGGGCCGGGGTTAAGCCGGCCCTTCCCGCGGGCAGGCTGCGGAGGGCTGGCGCGGCCGCCG